AAGGCGGAGAGCCACTGGGATTGGAAGGTCTGGGGTCAGGTATGTTACCATAGCTGAAGTGGGAACAGATAGGGGGAAAGTCCCAAGATGATTTTTGTTCACGATTTGGAGATGGGCAATCTTTCCGGGTGAATTTGGGCGGTCCTAAAGCTTTTTTGATACCCCTTTTTTTAGGAATGGGGGCCATCCCAGATGATGTAGGCTATACTGCAGTGATTGGGGCACGGGGAGCAATTCTCTCACTCGGAAACATCACGGTTACTAGGATTTTGTATTGCTTCGAAGTAAAACCAGGTATATATATTAATATTTAAAATTAATATATATATATATAAAATTTTATATTTTAAAAATTTAATATATATATATATATAATAAATATATTATAATTATATTTTATATATATACAAAAGATCACAGGGGACAGGGGTTTTTTCCAGAATATCAAAAAACCACTCTGAAAGAATAGAAAAATTTCCCAAGCGCTTTCGTGCAACTCGCATTATAAAGGGAAACTATGAAAGTAAAGCACCCAAAGGGAAGGGTTATAAAAGGGGGCTGGCCCAAACACCTCACTACAGACCCCACAACGGTTAAACACCTGACGCCGCCGGCCCAACTGGACAGGTCCTTTGCAAAACCCCCCAAACAAACTATTCTCCCAAAAAATTAAAAAAAAAATTTGCTGATGGTTTTCCCTTAAAAGATTCCTTTTAAATTTTTTGCGATAAAGTTTTATAGGGGTCAAACTGTAAAAATCTCAAACTAAGTTTAAAAAACAACATAAATATAGCTTTTAAACGGCAAGATTCCTGCCTATTTATTCAGTAAGAATTTTAACCATCCAATTGATTTTCAAAAGTTGAGAAAGTTGCATCAAGCAAGCCCATGGTCAACGGGAATAAATTGAATCTTTTTCATAAAAAAAGTTTTACAATAATATAAAATATTCCTTTTGGGTTTTTTAAAATTAGACCATTCATAATTAATGAATTGGGAAGAATTTAAAATACACTGACAAATAATAATTTTAAAAATTTTCTTGGGTAGAATATTTGTTGGTGGATGTAAAAGGGACCTTCCAGTTGGGCCCGGGGCGCGCTCGGGTTTTAACCGTTGTGGGATCTGATAGTAGTTTTGGGGCCAGACCCCTTATATACCTTCCTTTAGCTTTACTTTCTAGTTCCTTGATAATGTGAGTATCACGAAACGTTTGGGAAAATTTTCTCTATTTTTCAAGTGGGGTATACCTCCCATATACCCCGGGTTTTTTACAAGGTTTACGGGCCCTAGTTGCACAATTACATACTTTTTGTAAAGAAAGCCCCTTGTTATTAAAGGCATTTGGGGCAAATTGGGTCAATTTTGTCCCCAGGATGCCCCCCACACCTTTTCACATCCCCAGTCCCTTTTTACGGGATGGCGAACGGCAGCAGATTCTTAGGTAAACACATCCAATGTTTTTCACCCATCCCGGGGGATCGCCCCCGGACCTCAGTTTGTAACTGAGTGCGCAGAAATTTTTCTGATTCTTTTCTACTCCTTAAAGGACTTCTCTCACTTCTCTTCCCCTCCTTGTTTTATATACGTAATCCCACTCATTTGACCCTGGCGCTCAAACTCTCTCTTGCACAGTTCTTTTAAATTTTTGCTTTTCTTCTCACAACGCTTTACTGGTCTTCTTCCTTTGATTCACATGACACAAACTTTTTTTTCTCTTTCTCATTCGCGTTCTCGCCCTCCTCATAGCCCACAAAAGCATTTGAACGGCAGAATTACCCCCTTTACTGTTTTTAGTAAAGAACTCTCTCGTTCCGTCCCTGCTGGCCTTTTTTCAACATTTTTCCGTCATTTTTTAACCGAAAAGCCTCGAATGCAACCCTCAAGCCTCTGGTGGCATTGTAACGAAATTTAAATTTTTTTTCGCAAATAAATGGGGCCTTAGGGGTAAAAACTTTGTCTAAGGCTTTTTAAATACTAAATAAAAATTAACCTACAGCCAAGCTTTTTTTCTTCACCAAAACTTTAACTGATGGTCAATATTTTTATCGGGAATGATAATAAATTCACGTTGTTGTTATCAGGGATGGCAGTAAACTAACAAAAACAAATAAAAAAAATATATTAACCAGACTATAAATAACACAACACTATTACAAAAAAAGAAACATACACCAATATACCTTTCCCAGGGTACAAATTAGCCCTTTTATTATTGCAGAATATTACCAAAACTCAATTCACTGCTACTATTATTTACAGTTAAAACGGTGAAAAAAGCGGGGCCCATCACCCCCTTCCCCTTCTGCCGCCTTAAACGAAAGGCAAAAAACTATTACCGGGAGTTTTACCTGGAGAGGTTTTCCCGGGGTCACCCCCCCGGGGGCCCCGGTCTGGCCAGCCTCATGGGGATGGGGGTCTGTTAACCAGGCTTTACGCGGCCGCACGCAAACTAACGCCAA